GCGCCGCGGCGGGATGCTCGCCGCCAGCACAGGATCCGTCGAGGCGTTGGCGTCCGAGTGCTTGGCGGCTTCCGCCAGCGACACGCCGGTCGGCGCCGGTGCGGGCGAGCCGGGAAGTACAGATGCCGATCGTGCCCGTTTCGCCGCTGCGGCTTCTGCGCCCGCCTCACCTTCGCCGCCCGCTCCAGCTTGCTGCCCAGTTGAGCTTGCTGTGTGCGATGTGGACGAGGCGGTGGACGTCGTGCCGTGTGTCGATGGCACTGTTTGTTCCGGTGCAGCACCTTGCGAAGATTGCGAAGCTTGCGGCGCCGAGGCGACCGCCACACCAGACGAATGCGGTTGAGCCGCCACGCTCTTTGGGTCCGCCTCGAGGTCGCTTGCGAACCTCTCCCTGCGCTGGTCCACGACCGGCTCGATCTCGCGCCCCTGGTCGTCCAGATAGACGTACTGCAGCGACTCGGCAAGCTGCACTGCGCGCTCCTCGTACTCGCGCTCGCTGTGCACCGTCATCTCGTCGCCAAAGCCCGTCGCATGCACGATGGACGCGGCGACGCGCGAGCACATCTTGTGCATGTGCCTCGGCCACGTCAGCACGGGCGTCGCCGACCACAGGATGTCGGCCGCCGTCGTGTGCGCGTTGCACTCGGTCGTGTCCAGGAACAGGTCGGCGATGCGGCCCCGGTGGATGTGGATGTGCTTGGGCGCCACGTCGGTGAAGATGACGCGCGCAGCCACGTCGTCGCCCGCATACTGCCTCGCCTCGCGCAGCAGGTGGTGCTCGCCCGCCGCAGGAAAGCGCAGCAGCCACAGAATCGACTTGGGAACGCGCTTCAAGATGCGCAGCCACAGCTTGAACAGCATCGGGTCGCACTTGTACAGCTGGTTGAAGTCGGCAAAGATGACGTAGTCGTCGGGCAGCTTCGGGAACAGCTCGCGCCGCATCGCGTATCGCTTGAGCTCTTCGCTCGCCCATAGCTGCTCTTCCGTCGGCGTCGATGCAGCGCCACCCCCACGGCTCTCAGCTGCCTGGCTGGCCACCTCGATGGTCTCGGTCGGCACGGATTCCCGAAAGCCTTGCTTGTGGTCGTTGACAAAGTACGTGTGAGGCATGTAGACAAAGCGGTCGGGATACACCCACTCGTCCGAGGCCTCTTCGGGATCGAGGTCGGCCAGCAGATCCGTCGGACGCTGCTCCATCGCCGCCCCGGACGGGCCGCCAGCAAGCCTGAGCTGGCGCCACCGGTCGACGCTCGTCATCTCGGGCGGGCATACGATCGGGTCCGCCACCACCCAGTCTGTCCAGCGCGAGGCCATGCTTCCGGCGAAGCCCATAAACTCCATCTGCACGGGACAGGGGCGTGCGGCAAAAATCTCGTTGCGTGCGCCCTTGGTGTAGCCGTTAAGGTTCATGAGCACGTGGATGTTATCCATCACGATGCGCTCCACCACCTGCTGGTTCGACCACGCGGATACGTCGAGGAAGTGCTGAGCCTCGCGCTCGATCTTCTGACGGTACGGGCTGCCGTCCGACGGCGTCGTGGCATAGAGGTAGACGTTAAAGCGCGACAGATCGTGGAACCCAAATACGGACTGCATCAGATGCGCGAGCGGGTGGTTGTTGAAGTCCGACGAGACGTAGCCGATGTTGATCTTGGGCGCTGGTGGCGACGGCGGCGGGTAGACCACGTCGGGAACCCACATTTGCGTCAGCGTGCTCTGTGAAATCCTAAGAGCATTGCGGTGACAGATCAGACGGATCTGTCGCGGCGAGAGCGGATAGGTGAATGTGTGGAATGGCAGCACCGTGGGTACGGCAGGCGTGACCAGGCACGACGGTAGCTTCGGTCGCGCATAGTTGGTGGCGATGTTCTGCGCCGATGTCACACGCGGCAGCTCGGTCGCTGCACGAAGCATACCAGCGCCGTACGCATCCACGTACCACCGCCGCTGGGATCGGCGCATCATCCTCTCGACCAGCTGGATCAGGTAGCCGCCCTCGCACACATTGTTGGCTACACGATCGAAGCCAGGCTGATAGAACATCTCAAGCCGCTGCCTCCAAATCTCGGGCGCTGCATCCCGGGTGTCGCCCATTGCGTCGATGATCGCGCGGACCCAGACCTCCAATGGACCAGCGAGCTGAAACGCGCCGGCTCCGTACTGGCAGCCGTCTCTTAGCTGCTTGGAGACGAGTTCGGAGACGTTCGTCATCCATCCGCTTGCTCCTTCCGAGCCGACGTTGTTTCTGGTCTTGGTACCAGCACTCGTGCTTTCCGATGCATGCTTGTCGATGTACACTTCTGTCCAGTCGCAGACCGCCAGAAGCGCATTGACGAGCCCACAGAGCGCCTCGGGAAAGTGCGGATTGACGCGCACGGCGCGGCGGTAGTACGTGACCGAGTCCTGCGTGCGTCCTTGGTCCTTGATGGCATTACCGAGATTGGCCAGCGCCACATCGAAGTCCGGGTTGCACTCGACGGCCTTGAGGTACATCTTAATCGCTTCGTTGAGATGGCCGAGGTCCTTGAGCAGTGATCCGAGATTGGTGTAGATGTGCGGATGCTTGGGGTCGAGCTGCAAGCCTTGCGTGTAGTACTGCATTGCGAGCGCCTGTCCATTGAGCTGCTGTGGCTGACCTGCCGCGTTGATCACAGTGGTGACCACAGGGAGGGCAGAGAGCAGAATGCCCAGGTTGTTGCATGTCGATGCCGACGGGTGCAATGAGATGGAGAGATAGTACAGAGGCAGGAGCAACGACGTTGAAGGCGGGATGCCTCCCAGTGTCAAAGCGCCGTGCGGACCGGCCATTGGACTCGCCGTCGCATCCTGGAACAGCTTGGCGAGGGTGAGCAAGATGGTCGAAGTCGTCTGTGCAGCCTGCTTCTGCGCCTGCTGCAGGACGGCCGGATTCTGAGGCTTGCTGCTACTCTGAGGACGCGCAAGTGCTGGGAGGCAGCCCGCCGTCTCTGCAAAGATGACCTTGCACAGCTGCGTCGCAGCTTCCGGTAAGAGCAGGAGCATGGGCAGTTGGCCGTTGCCGAGCCGCAGCAGCGTGCTGACCAGAACATCACCAGACAGCTTGACCAGTGCGAGGATACCGCCCGGACAGATGCGGCTGAACGATCCGCTCGTCAAGATGGCAGCATGCTCCGAGTTGGCCGGGTTGATGCCCATAGCTACGGCCACTTCGAGAGCCGCCGCCGCTGCCGCGGTGCCGGGAAGCATGGCGCCCATCGACAGCAGCCCGACGGCGCATGCGGCAACGATAAAGTCGCGCAGCCCGTACCGAGTCGATTCGTTCGGAGACAGAACCACCTCGACTGCTTTTTGGTATTCGGCAGCTGCAGGCACGGTGCCCAGCTCGGGCAATACGAATTTGAGGTTACCCTTGGCGTAGAAGAGGTTCTGAAGGCGAGGCGTTTGCGTAAGCGGCAGACTGGGCGGAAGGTAGAGCGGCAACGACGCGCCCGGTGCGTTCTGCTGCCCGACGACGTGTGCCTCAACGTGTTCGCAAAGCTGAAGCGCCTCCTTGAATCTCGGCTGGGATGCAGGCTGTCCTTGACCTCCGAGCTGCGGGCCCGCTTTCGCGTTGGACACGGCAGGATTGGCGGAGCACATGACACCCAGCAGATTTTCGTAGGCATCCCAGTAGCCGGGACGCAAGCGGATAGCCCTCCACCACCAGCTCTCGGCCTCTTGGTAGCGGC